ACTAGACCGTCACATGGCATCTGAACATCATAAAAACGCCTGTCAGCGCCATTTAAGTTTGACTACAGGTAAATTAGTTTATGTTATTTTGATTTAATTTATTATTAACATATTTGGCTCTTGAATTCTAATGATGCTTGTTATTTCAGGCAACACTGTCCTGGCTTCATCTGAGCCCTCAGTTGTCCTGGAGCACGAGGCTGTGGTGGGGGCATTCAAGTGCTTGTATTGGCTGATAAAGCATGAAATAGGCCACCACTACAACTATCCAGCCTGCTCGAACTAGCAAATCTTTTGGGCTGCACCTATTTTCACAAGCTCCATGCAAGCATCTTTAAATGATTTAATACAAAAATTATATTTAAAATTTTTAAACTATTTAATTGTCAAGCAATTTTGACTAGTAACCTTTTTTTTTAGATTGGCAAAAGCACCAACTACAGGTCACACCAAATAATTGATGAAATGCTGGAAATATTGGCCGCTGTGGCTGAAAAGCCGATATTGAGCGATATTTTTCAGTCTAAAGCCACATGCTTGGAGATTGATGAGAGCACAGATGTCTCTGTGTGCAGACAGCTTGACATTCATGTGAGGTACGTCTACTCAATGTGTAACATTTAATGGATCAATAAAATGACAAATTACAGTTAATTAAATATAAAAATGTATTATATTCCTAGATACTTGGACAATGAGTGGAAGGTCCTTTGCCAATTCCTGGATCTGATTTGCCTCACTGACAGGAAAGCAGATTCAATAGTGGGGCAATAAAGAACATCATTCACACAAAAGGCATCCCTACAAATTCCATCTTTGTCCTTGGTACTGATGGTGCTGCTGTAATGACAGGTATTGCATTGTTTTTGTTGTTGTTTTTTGTGCATAATTAAATTGCTTTGAATATACATATATGATTTAATTAATAAATGTATTTAATAGGAGGACAAATGGAGTTTCAAAACAACTAACAGATGACTGGCCATGGCTCCTAAGTGTCCAGTGTGCTGCACGTAGGCTAGCTCTGGCCTGTAAGGATGCATCTGAAGAGGGCGTACATTCAGAGACCACTTGGGACAGCTGCAGCTGTTCTTCAGGAGCAGTGCAAACCGCTCAGCTTCTCTGAAAGCTGCAGCAACAGTTCTCGGTGTGGGTGAGATAAAAGTGAAGGTTGAAAGAATGAAAAAAATAAATTAAAATAAAACATTTGGCAATACGTGAAAACTTTACTTGTATTTACTGTATATTATTTGTACTATAGCAGCTCTGTTGTTTTATCTGTTATTGACTAGCAAGTCGAGGACACACGATGGCTCTCCCAACACGAGGCAGTAAAAAACCTGCTTGTAAACATCACGGCCGTGCTGGGTGTCCTGGCAGAAGAAGTAGAGACCCGGAAATGTCCTCCTGCTAAGGGACTGTATTCATTTCTTGCCACCTATCGCTTCATTGCTGCCCTTCACCTGCAAGCTGATGCGCTTCCTCACCTGGCACGCCTCTCGGAGCTCTTTCAAACAGAATGTTCTTGGCAGTCAAAGAGCAGGTAATCTAAATAACTCCTCTGAACCACTAACTTCATGTTTAGTTTGCACAAAAATAGGATATCACAACAATTACTGCCCTCACATGAATCATTTTACATTAAACTCGTGGCTTATTTTCCCAGGTCTCTGTCACCCTGGCCTTAATAAAGGGCATAAAAGATTGTGCTGGACATGAACATGGCTCACACTGAAGTAACTGAAGCAAAATCTTGAAGACCCTTCAGGACTGGGGGCATTCTGCTGAACAGGAGAGCGAAAGAAGAGGGGACGATATAAAAAGCAGACGGCAGTGCTGGCAAAGATTTCAATCTCAGGTATAATTATAATAATTATATGGCCTTTGGCAGACTATTTAGATACTTCAATTGAAGTTGTTGCACAGTTATTTAAGTGTAAAAATACATCCATGTCAATAAAGAGAGTTTCTGAAACTTATTTGAAGCTCATAACAAGCGCTAAACAACGATGTGGAACACACACACACCATAAAAAATCAAAATTGAGCACCCCGCCAAGGGAGCTGATCTAGGGGAAACATGCAGCAGGTGCTAGTGTGAGTTCAAATACTCAGGAAACAACTAATTTGTCCGTTCACCAGAAGAAGAAACACGGCGTTAATAGCATGTTATGTACGCTCAATAACTATTTTAGTTTCTTTATAAGTGAAAGGTCATCAGCGCAATTTTAAGTTAACTGGTTTAAAAAATGCACTTAAACATGAGAAATGTGAGACTGTACTGAACAGGTCATTTATTTTTATTTTTTCATTAATTAAGAAAAATGTTTTTTAATTTAAACGCCTGGCGCCTGTAATAACAGAAATAAAATGGTTAAATCATATTTGAATTGTTTTTGTAACTTTATTTATATGTAAATGAGACGGGCGTTTGATATCACAATATGTCGATCACAGACTTGTGAATCGAGTAGAATCGAAATCGTATCGTGACAAACTTTGTGATATCGAGAAAAACCGTATCGTCATACAAACAAATCAATATAATATCGTATCGTGGTAGAGCTGGTGATTTACAGCCCTAGGCTATAGTCATTGAGGACTGATGGGTGCGTTTTCTTTGGCACTGGAACAAGGCAGGATGTTTTCCACAACACTGGAACCTTCTCCTGGGTCAGGCTAAGGTTGAAGAGGTGCTGCAGAACCCCACAGAGCTGCTCTGCACAGACCTTCAGGACTCTGGGACTGACACCATCTGGACCTGCAGCCTTATTCCGGTTCAGTCTCTCCAGCTGCTTCCTCACCTGACTTCTGGAGAAGCAGAGGGGGGAGGCAAAGGAGGTATCAGCATCTTCTGATTTAGTTGAAGACCAACATGTAGAAGAAGGGTCCATGACTGAGGTGGTAGATACAATATTTGAGGTGTGACAGGACAGCCTTGGGTCAATGGAGGGTGGTATGTCTGTTTGGCTGTGGGCAAGAGAGGAGGATGCTGAGCTTGTTCCTGAACTGAACCTGTTGAAGAACATGTCCAGGCTTCCATCCTTCTGATCCTCCTTCTGCTTGAAGCCTGTGATCTGTTTCATCCCTGACCACACCTGTCTGATATTGTTCTGTTGGAGTTTGCTCTCCAGCTTCTTCTTGTACACCTCCTTGCTGTTTCTGATCTTGACTTTTAGTTGCTTCTGTGTGCTCCTCAATAATTCCCTGAAGGCTCTTTTTTTCTGGTTTAGCAGTTTAATGTGAGCCGGTGTCCCATAAAAGATGTAACGGTTCATGATGTAAAAAGAAATAAAAGTTTTTAAGAAAAGTTAAAGAGACAAGATGCTACAGCTCAACGTTCTCCGTTATTTGTGTGTTTTTAGAAACAGCATATTCTTAATAAGATCACCTCCTCTGGTATCCACACGCTCTTTATTGAATCAGACAAGACTCCAGATACCGCTTTTTCCACTTCAACTTCCCCACTTGCTGTGCAGCTCAAGGACTCTGCAGCCTACTGCCCGTCTCCCACAGGGCTGTGGGCACCGGAGCTGCTCATCACTGTGGGCTCCAAAAATAAACTCTGGACTCCCAGACCGCCCAACAGTGTCGCATGGTTTTATCTGCGGCAGCAGGTCGTCGATAGAGATAAACAGTTGCCCAAACTTTAAGAAGTGCGCTCCAAACTCACACTGTTTCGTACTTTACATAATTTGTGTTTGAGTCCATCATTACTGTTCGCTGGGTTGGCAGCCTGTTGTTTTCATGGCCGATTAAAGTCCATGTCTGGAGGATCTATGATGAGGAAAGCAGCGGCACAGCTGTGGATCTATATACTGTGTCTGTAGAACAGAGTGAGTCTGGAGGATCTATGATGAGGAAAGCTGTGGAACAGCTGTGGATCTATATACTGTGTCTGTAGAGCAGAGTGAGTCTGGAGGATCTATGATGAGGAAAGCAGCAGCACAGCTGTGGATCTATATACTGTGTCTGTAGAACAGAGTGAGTCTGGAGGATCTATGATGAGGAAAGCAGTGGAACAGCTGTGGATCTATATACTGTGTCTGTAGAACAGAGTGAGTCATGCTGGTGATCAGCTGATGTGAGGAACCCACAGCCTTCTCATGTCATCACAGCACTATCTGAAGAGCTGTGGCAAAATAAAAGGATCCAGAAAACAACGTCACAGAAATTTATGGCAACACATTTAACAAACATAAAAAGTGGAACAAATATAAAAAATAAACAAACAAAAAACATAAAGAAAATGTGCATTGTGACGGGGCAAACATGCTTTAGCCCCATATTTTCAAAAGCAAATCTTTCACATCCTCAACTATTAAAACCAAAACTGTGTGTGTGTGTGTGTGTGTGTGTGTCCTTGTTTATGCTACTTTGTGAGGCCCATTTTTCCAACTTATACTACATTGTGGGGACCAACTGCTCCTTATGGGGCCCAAAGCCCGGGCCCCATAAGAAGAAGTCCCGTTGGTGGGTTAGGGGCTAGGTTTAGGACTAAGGTGTGAATTGAGGATGTGTTAGGTTTAGGGTTAGGTATGTACTGGTAATGGTTAGGTTATGGATAAAGGTCATGGTTAGGCTATAGAAATTAATGAAAAATGAATGGAAGTCAATGCAAAGGCCCCACAAAGATAGCAAAACAAACCTGTGTGTGTGTGTGTGTGTGTGTGTGTGTGTGTGCGTGTGTGTGTGTGTGCGTGTGCGTGTGTCAGATGAATGTTACTCCCTCGTTATTGCAGAGCAGTAAATCCAACAAGTCAAAGATACAGAATGCCATGAAGCTGGAGTTAAGTTGTTCGGAACATGACCTCCTCCCAGCTCAGAGCCTGCAGCTTCTGATCACTAACCCGCTCGGGTTTGAGTCACTAAATGTAAAAACATCCGTTAAATCAGCCAAAAACAAACCTGACGCTCGCCTCATGGGCTCTGCTATTTCACATATTTAACTATTAAGAGCTTACAAGTCCAGTTTAAGTAATAATAAATAAACTACTCACTCGATCAATGTTTTGGAGCAAATAATGATGGAGCAGGGCCCAAAGATATCCACCCACCAACGACGATATTTTCATTGCAGCAGCTCCAGTATGTGGCTCGTGCTGCCGACAAGCTGCAGGCGCGTCACCAGGCAACAGCTTGAGTGACGTGCAGTTGGACCAATGAAAGCGCTTGTTTACCAGAGGCTCTCTTTGTGGCGGCCAATAGCAGAGCAGCGTGGCTTCACGAGGGCAGGGGAGGGGAGAAAACTGTTGCGGTCTGAGGGTGTTTAGTTTGAGGTGGGAGATGATTGTTCCAATTTCTCTGTTACATAATTGATCAAAATCACCGCGTGCGTCCAACATAACTCATGAACTCTTCTGAAAGACATTCGTTTTATGGATGTTAGGCAGAATACTGCATGTCAGAATGCAGCTCACAAAGAAAGAAACCAATGTTTAAATGACAAAATCGGGAGCTTATTACATATTTACATTCCTCCTTTGTTCTTAAACTGATATGTGAAGGTTTTATTTAACTGTGTGATCACCTTATATTGGTAATTACAATAAAGTTAATCAGCCTAAACTCTAAATGGCCAAATCTGGATATTGATTTTTTATTAAATGTGAACATAGTGCAGCTGTGGTCACATTTTATCCATCTTAACATTTTCATCAAAACTTGCTCAGTTTTTGTGCTAACTAATGCTGCCACCCTCAGGATTTCCTGTCAAATGTAAAAACAAATAAATAAATAAAGGATATTTCAAGTTCCTCCCTCACTGCAGACATTTTCTCTTGCATGGGAAAGAAGATGCTTAAGGATGTAATAATCCCATTGTGTTGTTTACATGAACAGTCATTTACTTTGCTTTATGCTTATTTATTAACAGCTGTTCCAATGTTGTTCTAGCCACCATGTCCGTCTTCTCTCGTCTCTCTCTGCTCCGACTAACTACACCACATGTCCCTCCTTGTTTAGAACAAAAACATATTTGTAACACAAAAAGTTTCCTTCTAACTTAGTCTTTAAATCATATTGTTACTTTTTTTTTTTTTTTTACATAGAAATCAAAACAACTATAAATCAAAACAATTTTCATTCTACATTACTAAACCAAAGGGCCCCGGAGGGGACGTGGGGGATTTTATTCTTTTGCGTTCCCTCGCAGCACTGTACAATATTGTGAGGTAACACTACATACTGTACAGTACTGTGAAGTAACACTACATACTGTACAGTATTGTGAGGTAACACTTTGCCCCTTTGGCTACGCTAATTCACCAGCTGAGTTCAACATCTTTTTGAACAAAGCATGTCCAGACGCCCACGGACGTGGGACACTGATCTACGTGGACGATGTCCTTTTGAGGCAGCCAAAACTGGACTTACACTTGGCTGAGATTGACCACGTTCTGAATCAACTGACTACTGCTGGTGCTAAAATCTCACTGTCAAAATGCCAGTGGTGCAGGACCAAGGTGGACTACGTTGGCCTACTAGTAGGTCCAGACGAAGTACAACCACAATTGACTCGCACCCAAGGCCTAGACAATCTCAAAGTCCCCACCAATCTCAGAGAACTACAAAATTTTCTGGGCGTGTATAACTACTCACACCAATTCATAGAGAACTATGCAGACCTTGAGAAACCACTGACTGAACTCTTAAAGACAGACGTCCCATTTGTCTGGACTGATAACCAACAGCAGGCAATGAATGCTCTCAGGGACAGACTCAAGTCAGCCCCATGTCTAGTCTATCCAGACTACAACAAAGAGTTTCACTTGGAAGTGGGCTTTTCAGCTCACTGCATGAGTGCAAGTATGTACCAGATGCACAACAAAGACAAGCGTGTGGTGGCCTACGCCAGTAAGACAATGGCAGGCCCCGAATTAAAGTTCTCAGACTGTGAAAAAGCTCTACTGACCATTGTGTGGGCAGTTAAACACTTCTCTAGTTACATCGGTGGACAAAAAAATCATTGTTGAAACACAACACCAGCCAGTAACTTTCCTGAATAGCCAACGCATCAGAGATGGTGTGGTGACAAACTCACGGGTAGCCACATGGCTCATGGAGCTTCAAAGTTTTGACGTAGACATCCGCTACGGACAAAACAAGAAGTCACATTTGGGCACTGACCTGGCACTCTGCCAGGAATGTACACAAGATGTACCAGCCACCCAACCGCCAGCTGCAGAAAAACCCTCAGTAAATGAGGACCCGAATCACCACTACTTTGATAGCAGTATCTGCAAAGACATGACAACATTGTATGTGGATGGATGCTCATTCCACCATGAACAAACCTGCAAATCAGGTGTTGGAGGGATCCTCCTCCAATACCAAGAATAGGTCACTTTTAGCTATAAATTAGGCTCTCAGACTTCTCAGTACACTGAGATAGCAGGAATCCTAATAGCTCTCCAGATAGCAGTAGAACGCTCCATCCAAACGCTAGTCATCTGCACGGACTCTAATTACGCTCGACTTAGTTTCTTGTGTCATCTCGCTCTGTGGAAACAGAACGGCTTTCGCACAAGCAACAAGAAAGTGGTCAAACACAAAGAGCTTTTCATGGCATGTGATCACTTGGTGACATCACATGACCTACAGGTCTACTGGAAAAAGGTTCCAGGACATTCAAGAGTCCTAGGCGATGACAAGCGGTATAATGACCTTGCAGACTTCCTAGCCAAGGATGGAGCCGTGGACGGCCCTCCGTGGTCCTTTGACCCCTCCTGGCTGCTCGCAACTCTGTCAGTACAACCTACAGCCAAGGTAATGGCAGTCACACGTGCACAGGCTGCAGCCAAACTGGCTGACAACACAGTCTCTGTACAACCCGTGCTGACTGACCCAGACATCATCCAACTTCAGAAGTTGGATCCTGCGATAAACTCGATGATACTGTACTTGAATGACCCAGACAAAAACACTCCGTCCGAAGCCGACCTGGATTCCAATCCAGACCTTAAACTCCACTTTCAGCTGCGCAAACAGCTAAACCTACTTAAGGGCATCCTAACTTTTGCTCATGGATCGACGTCCTCACCCGTGTTCGTGGTACCCATGACCACAGGGTGGTGATGTTAGTTCATGCGCATGACCTCCCGTCCGCAGGACACAAGGGAGATAACGCCACGCTGAAAGCATTAAAACAAGCTGCTTATTGGCCTGGAATGAAAAAAGATGTCAAGAACTACATAAAAGGCTGCCTGGTCTGTGGCCAGTTTCAGCCATCCAGACCACTCCACAGAGCACCACTGCAAAGTAGAGGCATTGCATTCCCATGGCCCGACCTCCAGATCGACTGGGTTGGACCACTTACTAAGAGCACTAGAGGAAATAAATATTTTCTAACGGTAACGTGCGCATTTACCAGATGTCTACCAGCTCCTAACGACACAGCACAAATAACTGCTATGTTACTAATGAATCATGTATTTTCAAGGTTTGGACTTCCCCTCAGGGTGAACTCAGACCAAGGTACACACTTCACTGCTGAAGTGATGAAAGAACTGTGGAAGATGCTAGGCATCAAAGTCAACTTCCATGTTGGCTACCACCCACAGGCCTCAGGCCAAGTGGAGAGAGAAAACATAACTGTGGTAAGTATTTTGAAGAAATACGTAGCCGCAAACGACAAGCACTGGGACGTGAAACTCCCTCTGGTCCTCATGGCCATAAGGGCCACTCCACACACGTCGACTGGCATCTCTCCCTTCGAGATGATGATGGGTCGACAAATGACTCTCCCTCTACACCTGTTGTACCAACCAGGCGATGCCGCCATGGCAACAGCCTACATCACACAACAATACATGAATGACTTGGAAGCACACCTTAAAAACACCTTTGCGTTTGCCCAGAAAAACCTAGAAAAATCAGCTGAAGGACGAAAGGCGTACTATGACCAAAAGGCCTCTCACAAGGAACTCCAAGTGGGAGATAGGGTCTGGTACTACACGTTCGTCCCCACAACCGGGAAAGGAGAGTCCGGGACCGGAACTCTCACCCGCAAACTGATACCCAAGTGGACTGGACCCCACCTGATAACAGACAAACTGTCTCCAGTTGTCAACCAGATCAAAATCAGCAAAGGCCAAAAGGAGCCAATGGTTAAATGGGTACATTGAAACCAGGTCAAACTACACAAGGCGTTCAATGAATCCACAGGAGACAAAGATCTCACAAACTAAGACCTCGTGGGAAAAAAGGTCGTCCAAGCAGAAACTAAATAAGTCCAAGCTTAATTAAGTGTTAAGATAACAACTCAGACGCGATAACCTGATCGAATCTGACAATCAGAGTGAGTGACGCAGTGAAACGTTGTTTTCTAGTTGCTTAATCACTACTTTTGTCGATGTTGAAACGTTGTTTTTCTGGTTGCTTAATCACTACTTTTGTCGATGTTGAGACATCGTTTATTGGTTTTGGTATTGTTTCTGAACACCCCTAGCAAGAATGAATTTTGTGTGTACTTTAGTTAGAGACTAAGAGGACTTTAACTATGCCAACATGCAGTTCATTTGTTAAACTTCAACCTTTGAGGAGTCAATGTAGATTAATGCTACCTTAAGTACCATAACCTACATTGGTCTCACGACGCTCAAGCTGAACCTACTCGAACAATCCTATTTGGGGAGGGGGCTAGCTAATCCTTAAGTTGAGTCTCACCATAGACTCCAAAAACATTTAAGGGGAAACCAAAAAACCAAACCTCAAGTCGTTCGTCTAAAGGGACAACAGACAATTGAACCAAACTATATTTTGCCATGTAAATCTAACTTAAACCAAGTTAAGAATGGAAAAATAGTTTGGAATGCCCTTCTATAGTTATAAATCCCTATATATAATTTTTCAGCATGACCCACCCTTTAATTGGTACCTGTAGCTGATCTAAACCATGATGGCTTACACACCAGGTGCATACAGGTTAAGGTCTTATGTAAAATCCCACTCATAAGCCCACCTAAAACCACATAAATGCATGAACACATAGAACCAGAATGGCATCCACTGGGAACCACCAGCAACGACCTTCGCTGAAGGGACCTACAACTCCAACGTGGGTC